GGAGGGTATGCACAGTGACAAACAGACAGGGGCGAAGGCTGACTTGTTTGACAGGGTAATCAAAGTGAAACGGGACCAGATATGGCCTGGGGATATCGCACAAGAACCTTGCTCGAGGCGGCGACTCAGAGTTGTGAATGAAAACAAATCCGGAATTCATTATTGTATGTTCAACCGCCAAAATAATCGGGAAAGTATCTCATTAAATATCAATTCCAATTAAAATTATTTAACTTTAGATGTGAATACACAAACACAAAGCAAAGAAGCAGAGATGTCAGTACTAGATCTATATGTTATAGATCTACCAGGGAATCTAACTCTTTGGTAGAACATGACAATTATCATTTTTTAAATTTCACATTTGGCTGTTTTTTGTCTAGCCTTTCGCGGCCACGAGCCTGTGTCATAATCGAGGTCACGATCTGATTATAGGGCAGTAAAAAGTCGAGGGAAAAAAACAAGCTCTCGCAGCAGTGAGAGATTATTAGGAGTTAGTTCCCCTCACATCTGTGAGGTAGACTCGACCAGTGTAATAGTTAGCTTACCTAATCAGAGCTTGAGACTGATTATAACTGTGGCCCGAAAGGGGTGAACAGGGTATATGTGGCAATGAAACAGTTTAGACTGCTATGCACATGTTCCCTTCAACTATGTTGGTAGACACATCCAGTCTCACTTTAAGCTTACTTAATCAAAGCTTGTGACTGCTTATGGAGTGGCCCAAGAGGGGAAAACAGGCTATTTCTGTGGCAATGAAACCGTTTAGAATGTTAGGCATACTGTTCATTGTTGATTATGAACGTCTTTTTACATTTAATTTATGAAGTTTACGTTTATGGGGGAATTTGACTGCGACAATGTTTCAAAATTAGGAAGGGAAGCAGTGATTATTTGATTACATAGACGCTTCGCCTCTGCAAATAGATTAAGTAAAACAAGAGTACAACAACAATAACAATAATAAGGAAGTAAGAACATTAAGAATAACCAAGTTCTTGTTCCAAATATTAGACGAAGCAAGACAAGACTAACATTTTATAACACCAATAACAAGGAAGTAAAAACGTTAAAATCAGGTTCTTTTTTTAAACAAGAGTAAGACAGCGACAAACAGAACATCATGAAGTGAGACAAGACTGCAATAACAATTTTTTTTTTTAAAGGAAGTAGGAGGAACATTTTATGATAATCAGGTTCTGGTTCTAAATACAGTGACAAACAGGTTAAAAATAGTGAGACAAAACAACAGTAACAATTTACAAAGGAGGAGGAACATTAATTAAAGTCACAATCAATGAATAATCAGATTCTGATTCTACACAGCAACAAACTGATGAAGTAAGACAATATTACAACTACAATAACAAAGAAGAAGGACCTGAATATTTCATAATAACCAGGTTCTGGTTCTAAATAACAGTCACAGTAACAAGCAGCAGAAGAAAGACAAAAGAATACTCAATAAAAAGAAAGTAGGAAAATTCATTTTTATAAAATGGGTTCTGGGTCTTAATAATTTAATAATATAGCAATAACAAATGAAAAGATGTTGAAAGACAAGAATCGGCCTACATGAAGCAGCACAGTTTGTACCTACTATACTAGGGTCGTTCAAAAAGTTTTGCCTCCTCTCCTATATCGTCTAAACTATTCAAGATATCTTCATGAAATTTGTACACAATTTACTTTCAATATGTATAACATCATGGAAGCTAAGGTACATTGTCGCCGAGAAAATGGCGTCCAGCTAACATATGAATGTGCGCTTAAAGCAAAGAGCTGTTATTGAGTGCCTTACTGCAGAGGGAGCTGCACCTATTGATTTTCATAGGCGAATGAAGCTTGTCTATGGTGAAGCATGTGTAGATGTAAGTACTATTCGAAGATGAGCAAATGAGTTCGCTTAAACCAGTCCAGCAGAAACAGATTTGCATGACCAAGCTCGATGTGGTCTTCCCAACTCTGCCACTGATGTTCAACACCAGGAGAGAGTGGATGAGATCAACCAAGCAAACCGGCGGATCAAAGTAAGAGATGTCAGTGAAATGATAGGGATTTCTGTAGGCAGTGCTCCGTATATTATCCATGATGTGTTGGGTTACAGGAAAGTGTGTGCACGGTGGGTTCCCCATATGTTGTCACCCGAGCTTAAAATGAACCGAAGTCAAGTTAGTGATGAACTCCTGGCTCGTTATACTGATGAAGGTGAAGCTTTCTTACGCCGTATAGTCACAGGAGACAAGACTTATGTACACCATTATGACCCGGAGAGCAAAAGACAATCGAAAGAATACAGGCACACTGGCTCACCTAGCCCCAAGAAGTTCAAAGTTGTTTCATCTGTAAAGAAAGTGCTCATGACAGTGTTTTGGGACGGCGATGGTCTGATTCATATGGAATTTTTGGAACAGGGTTCCATTATCAACTCTGAACGATACATTGAGACCCTGACAAAACTTAGAGCACGGCTGTCGCGAGTTAAGCCCGAAAAAAATGCAATTTCGCACCACGACAACGCCCGTCCACACTCGAGTTGACAAACTCAAGATGCCATGAAAAGTCTCAGGTTTCAAGAGCCCTTACCGCACCCATCATACAGTCCAGACCTTGCTCCATCTGACTTTTATCTTTTTCCTAAGTTGAAGGAGTACCTCAAAGGAAAACGTTATGTGGATGACTATGAAATTCAAGATGTGCGTCGCTGGTTCAGAGGAAAACCACATGAATATTTCGCCGACAGCATGGGACAACTTATTCGACGTTGGCGGATCTGCAAAGACAAAGAAGGCAAATGTGTTGAAAAGTGAAGGTACTGTCATGTAGCAGACATCCTAAGCTTTCATTGGTGTATAACTTTTGTATGTAGCATCAGTAATAAAGAAATTATGAACTTGGAGGCAAAACTTTTTGAACGACCCTCGTAGATCTACCAGTCCACTAGATGGTCTTCCACTGAACCAGTCTGACAATAATATTACTCCACATGACAGTCTACCAGAATCGCAATACCTAACACTTTCCACAATCAAATTCTAAACATTTTCCAGTCACAATACTTAATGTTTTCCTTCTGTGTTTATACAGGCTTGGGAGTGTCATTGGCTGTTGTTTTTCAATGTAGTAAGAGTTTTAACAAGGCGCTCACAACTGCATAAAAGGTATGAGTGCACGAAACACAAGTTGGTTGCATTCACACCAGTTCACAGCACAGCTTGGTTTTGGTCAATGGTCAGATAAAATTGTTAAAATTTTTACGGTAAAAATTTCAATCTTAAAAATTATTTTGAATTTAGAATCTTGTTCTACACTCCAGATATAATTTAAATCATATTTTTATATTTTTACATGTTATTGTTAGAAGGAGGATTCTGTTGGGATCAACGGCGTAGAATATAGTTTTTCAATCAAAATGTCTGATTCGGAAAAGCAAAGTAAATGTTTGCAGTGATTACAAGCCAACAACAGAAAACTTTCTTCCCATCTTGACATTCTTGAAGGCCATTTCACTTGCAACTCCAACCTATGTACTGACTTAGCTCAAGTGCATGGCTCAAGGCATCTTTACACAACAGTATAACAGTCTTGCCCCAACTCTGTGACCGTGAACTTCAGCTAGGTGAACGTAGAGTTACAGTCCGGACAACACCAAATGGACAACTTTTTGACCTCATTACGCCGAATCTAAGTGGCGAACCTCTCTGATTTTGTTTGCATGTGCCTCAGAATTCTAAAACACCGTTAAGAAATCCCGACATTCGTGCACTTGCAACAAAGTATGAGATCCTCACCAACCCAAAGATATTAGAATTATACACCATCCCATTTACTATGCCCTTGGGTGTCTTCAACCTGCTATAGCTTTACTGTGCACGCCCAGTTTTTAGACCCACGAGCCGCCCCTGCTCAAAACTATACCGGCTGCAGCAAATTCACTTTTGGTGGGAGCCATTTTGATAATGTATTGCACTGTAAAAGTGAGGGAACAAATGAGATCGCTCACGGATCCGATCGTGTAACCTTCCCGAGAAGATCTTGAGACTGTCTTGAGATTAGGAACTGCGTGTTGAGTGGGGGGGGGGGGGGGGGGGGCCTTAAGTCTTGCTGAAAGTTTTCATTGTTGTTGTTTCTGGTTTTCCTGGGGGGGGGGGGTCTGGTCTCTTTACTCATTTTTCGGGGGAGGGGCTTGTTGTTGTTGTTTTTGTAAACATTCCTTTCTGAGTTCGCTACTGGAGTTGGCTGCAGGTTCAGGAAATCTCTTACACTTCTACACAGATACCGTCGTCAACAGCTGGGTTTATCTTAATGTGTTAAACACTTTTGTTTACACAGAGAGACGAAGTCTTGTGACTGCAGTAATAAATGTTAACTTCTACAGAGTATGCCAAATGAGGAAGACAGTGTGCAACGGTAAAAAAACTGAAATGTGTCAGACGAGGAAGGCAAAGTAAAATTAACAATACATGGGTCGCCACCACTCGGAGATCGAGTGCCGCAAGTTCATGCTCACGTCCTTTGTAAAAGGCTTAATACGAGGTGCCCACTACGGATGGGATCGGCCGATTTTGCAAATAGATCTAGTCCATTCTCCTCCTTCCCAATCCTCCTCCCGTTCTTGTCTATCCTGCTGACGTCGTCGTTGTAGCGATCGTCTACTTCATTTTCGTCCTCGTCCTTACCCTAGTCCTTGTCCTCCCCGTTATTATCATCATCATCATCTTCATCACCATCACCGTCATCATAGTTGTAAGTATGAAACAGAAATTGTGCGGAGACAAGATATTTCAGAAATATGATTACATTAGAAAAAAAGTTCCACTTTACACCATGCTCGGTAACAAAAAAGCAACCATCATCATCAGCAGCAGCAGCTACTGCTGCAGCAACAGCTGCTGCAGCAACACCCACAGCAGCAGCAGCCGCAGCAACAGCATCAGCATCCCCATCACTACCCATTCACAAAACTCTAACCATACTCCCTTGCCTTCTACTGTTCTTAGCTCGTCGCAGGCACAGAGACCCGGACGCCGAAGAGGACCAGTCTGAGCGACGACAAGACAACGATGAGGTCATCAGTGTTGACATGAGTGTTCAGACAGACGATTCCTCCCAGACGGAGAAAAGAAGGAGAAGAGGCAGATGGAGAAGAGGAGGACTGAGCGAGTACCGTCCAGGAGAAACTGATACTTGGGACGAGAGCGATTATTACGACGACGAAGATGAAGAAGAGGATAATGGAGAAGACTACACTGGAGAGGACTATGAAGGCGGAATAAGGGAGAGAAGGAAGAAACGAGAAAGTGAAGATAAAGAAAAGGGGAAAGAGGGATTAGAGCGAGCAAGTTCTGGCAAGTTTACTGAAATCAACTACGATCTCACCCCAAAGTGAGTGTACAGATATAATGCTTCTCTTTGTTTTGTTGTGTTTATTTCTTTATAGTTCTCTTTCTTATTCAAGGACTTGCAGCGTAATCAAAACCCTAAAACCTAAATCCCACAAGGTTCTCCTTCTCATGTTCAGCTTACTTTTACCAGCATCACGGAAATAATTTCCAACCACCAACTTTAAACTGACAAGCTGGCTGGACCTGTCTGTCTAAACAGCAAAACAAACCATCAACCTGGAGAGCAGAAGAAAACTGCTTTTGAAATGTAATAATAGAATTTAAAATGGATAGGCAGCCATGTGTGGCTTTCCAATTTGTTTCACTCTGTTGAAAAGAGAACATTCTCTTTCCCAGACAACAGCAAAAAATAGTTGAACTTATTTTATTGATAAATTATTCAGTTACGTGTTTACTTTTGTACCTACTTGTTCACTATTGCGTCTTTAGTGTGAGTGTGTCTGTAACTCTACTAATTGAATTCCTGTACGTCATCTGTCTCCTTTTGCAGCATGTTCCGATCAGAGACGGGCGGAAGTGAATGGTCGGACGACGTGCCTCCCCTGATCAACGCTCCGTAAGTGAATAATTTATTTTTTTAAAATACTATAACTTGGTAATACCACCAACCGCACTTATAACCGGGTTTTGCCAGTTTACGAAAAGGAACGCCTACATAAACATAGAATTTATTCCTCTACACCGCCATCGGCCATCGGCCATCGGCTAACTGTCTGAGCTGTCCGGTCCCTATAAACTAGGTAAGTTTACCCCGTTATCCCGCCAGCAAACCAGCTGCCAGAGGTACGCTCTACACGCAGTGAACAGCATCCATCCGTTGCCTGCTCCCATACCAGCTCGGCCCGAAGGCTTAGGCCGGTCCCAGAGTGGCTCTGTAGGTCTGACCTGTAGCTCGCCTAGCGCACGCCGTCTGCGTGTCAGCACAGCCGCACTGTGCGTTGGCTCCTGTGTCTCAGCCTCTCCCAGTTTTGCAGCTGCGCGTATAGGCTAACTCGCTGGACTGGCGATAGAATCTAGTTTACTTTGGTTACTATGGTTTCAATGCAAGGCTATAATAGAACCTCTCTGGCGGTAGATCTAAATCTATGTCTAGCCTAGGCCTACTAGAATTAATTAATTTTAGCCCAAATATATATATTAATGAATAAACCTGTGTCAAGATCTAGATCTAGAATCTAGATTTTGTTGTGCACCCAACCAAGAGTGTGCAGTTCGGAAAGTAGATCTAGATCTAGTGGTTGGCTAATGATCAAAGGGCGACTCTTGACTAGGCTGTGAATTGGCGGAGACACACGACAACTTGATTCATACTATCATATCAACAGTAGATTTAGATATACTTAAGCTTCTGTGCTTGTTTCAATGGCTTCTTTTTCGGTGTACCTGTACAATTGCGGTCCCGTTTAATGTTCACATGACGGCCATTGTCATGTGGAAGTGATTCTAGATCAAGATCAATATTCGAGACGTGGTCTAGATCTATATCTCTAGTTCTAGATAGATTAGCTAAGATAATCTATCTCTAGATCTAGATATCTAAATTCTAGATCTAGATTAGATATATAATTTTAATTCAGTTTGGATCTAGAATTCTAAATTTAGATCTAGATCTAGATCTAAATAAGAAGCAGGTAAAAATTACGACAGAGGTACTAGAGTCTTTTAAATCTAGATCTAGATCTACGGACATTTCACACCAGATATTTGGAATTTTTGATCAAGTCGAGATAGATTCTGGGGTGAACACTTTAAATCTAGATCTAGTTCTAAAGTATGTGTAAATTATTATATATATATATATATATAATCGTGGCCTTTCTAGGGACATCCATCTGCATCTCAATCTAGATCTAGGCCTAGCCTAGAATCTAGAGAATCACACAGGCCTAGATCTAGATCTAGCATACGACGAACAGTCGAAACTAGGTCAACCTCTCAATTCGAAGTTTCAATGTATGATAAAGTGCATTTCTTGGTGATTTTGTGGTCAAGTGTTGATGCTAGCATCAATATTTAATACTAAAGCACCTAATAATACTTACTTCTTGCTGATTTAATTATCTGTGAAGAGTTTTAGTCGAAAATAAACACGAAGCGAATCTGCGTGCGACTTGTCCGCCATGTTTTACAACGTTGTTGAATAGCACGTCTGACGCGTTTGGCAGCTCAGCGGACAACAGACAGACAATACAGCAACGCTGCTCAGGATCACGATAATGTATTCGTTCATTTGCACGGTGCAAGATAGGCGAGCCTCAGGTCAGACCTACAGAGCCACTCTGGGACTGGCCTACCCCATTGACTTCAAGCTGCCCGGTGCCCGCAAGGCTTTTATTTTGTGACAACTTATGCTCAATTCTACATGACCGGTCTGAGTCGTCCCGAGGACTGACGGGCATCTGGAAAAGAAAACTGCATGCCAACAGGGACCTTAACACATGTAGCCCAGCTTCTTATTGGGCAGGAATTTACGTAAAGTTCAGCTGGATTTGAATATTTTTTAAATATATTTTTTTTAAACAACCTACTATAAAGGGGGGATCTCATGGCCTTAGAGGTTAAGGTAATAACCCCTCTCCTTCAATAGGTCCCGGGTTCGAATGCGAATAGTGAAATAAAATTATTTTCTCATTTCACGTTCTTTCCTGCTCTCTAATGTTCTGTTGTCTGCTTTCGTCTCCGCGTTCTGCCCCAATCCCCTGATCTCCTTTGCCCCCTTTCTTTGGGCTCCTGACCCTTTCTGCCGCCTTTTTTCTGCTACTCCTTTGCTACTTCTTTCTGCTGTCTTTCAGCCACACCCCTGATCTTCTGGTAGGAAAAATCTACAGCTAGCCTTCTTGAACAAGGACAAAAAATCTCGGAGGTCCCGTATGCAAGTTGCGCACGTTTAAGATCCCTTGGTGGTCCAAATCGAAAAGAGTAGGTTTCGGCCGCCACGAGGACAAAATTCAAAATTTCCTACCAACTGAAAATGTTTAATATGTTCCGCGCGCTCATATGACCTTATGCAGTTGAGAGCGCATTATTCAAACACTACAAAAAAGAACCTGTGTAAGACGGCCACTCATTGCCAACGAGAAAAGTGGCCGTATAAGTCAGATGGCCGTCTTAGGCAGGATTGGTCAAAAAGAAGAAAACAAACCATTCCCTTCTGAGGCCCCAACCGAAGGTAGTCGCATCGTTGTTGTTTTTGATGGTTTGTTTTTTGTTAGCTTTTTTTATTTTGTTGCTGATTTTATGCAAGGGTAACAATAAAACGATATATGTCAGACCGAGTGCATGTTAAAATAAACACATGTGTCGCCACCACTAGGAGAAAGAGCGACGGTTCTGTCGCAACTTCATGTTGACGACCATTGTAACTTAACTGCAGATTGTGTAAACAGTGACCACTCATCTCACTTACGATTTGTGTATGAGTTGTGGGTGGGGCTTATGGGTTATGACCAACTCTATGGTTATGACAGATCACACGCTTACCTCACCAGCATCTACCTTCGCAACACGATCGGTTGGACGGACTAGATCTACCAAACAACAACGGCATAATTTGTGACAAATGGGCGTGAGATGAGAGAGGTGGCCGTCTAAGACAGGTGTTATTGTTGGTGTGATAGGGTTTTGGTAATAAAATATGGTGGCCGTGGCCGCCTTGGGCAGGTGACCGTTTTATATAGTGAAATTGTATAGAAAAAACCCAAGGGGGGAAATGAAAAGTGGCCGTTTGTACATGTGGCCTTACTATACAGGTGACCGTCATGGCAGGTTCAACTGTGCGTATATATTATGATAAATATAAATGAGAGATATATAGATAGATATATATATATATATATATATATATATATATATATATATATATATATGTATATATATATATGTATATATTATTTATTATATTATTTATATATATATATATGTGTTTATATATATATATATATATATATATATATATATATATATATATATATATATTTATATATATATATATGTATGTATTATTTATTATATTATTTATGTATATGTGTGTTTATTTATATATATATATACTTACTTACTTTACTTTTTTACTTTTTTCTTCCGCTTGTACCCTGGGGTGTCGCGAGGAGACACAGGTGTCTGTCTGCAGCAAGTCGTGTGGCCTGTAGGAGGGACATCCCATGATCTTTTAGGGTGTCTGCCACAGATTCACTCCATCGTCGCCTTGGTCTTCCTCTGGCTCTCCATCCAGAATATTTAATGTTGTATGCTCTCAGAGCTGGATGGTTTGAGGGCATCCGCGTGAGGTGTCCGAACCACTTGACCTTTTGTTTTTCAATGTGTGGTAGGACTGGTGTTGCTCCCACGGTGTCCCTTATGACTTCATTTTTAATTTTGTCTCTTCTTGTTTTGTTGACCGCTCTTCTTAAGCATTTCATCTCGCATGTGACCAGTTTCCTCTCTAGGGCTTTTGTTAGAGTCCATGTCTGGCACTGATATGTGAGCGTTGGAAGGAAAATGGCGTTGATGAGCTTCGCCTTGGTGCTCATGGGGATATTGGGATGTTTCAGGAGAGGGCCCAGTTGGTAGCTGACTGCGTTGGCTCTCTGGCATCTAGTCTCTATCTCTCGATCTAATTTTCCATTTTCTGTGAAAATGCTGCCCAAGTATTTGAATTCTCTGCTTTGTTTTAGTTGGGATCCATTGATGTTGATATCCACTTTACCTGGTCTCCTGCTAATTGTCATGACTTCGATCTTGCTTATACTGATCTTCATGTCATATTTTTCGCAGCTCGCATTTAGTTGGTTTATATGCTCCTGTAGCTGAGTCTTGTTGTTAATCATTGCCAGGTCATCTGCAAACATGAGTTTGTTGAGTGCCTCTGGGTCTGGATTGGCCTCTTTTGTTATCTGGTCCATGTAGATCACGAAGAGCAGAGGGGAGAGATTGCAGCCCTGTCTCACTCCGGATGTTACTGGAAACCAGTCCGATTTTCCACTGGTAGTTCGGACAGCGCTTCTGCTGTTGGCATAGATAGCCCTGATGTTGTCTAGCAGTTGTCCCTTGATGTCGTACTGCTCTAAGATCTTCCATAGCTTGTTTCTATTTACTCGATCAAAGGCTTTTTCTTGATCCACAAATACGAGGTGGAGAACTTTGTCGTATTCCAAAGCCCTCTCACACGGTTGTCGGAGTGCGAAGATTGCATCAGTGCACCCTCTTCCTTTTCTAAAGCCAAATTGGGCGTCACTGAGAAGATGTTCGGTTTTTGCGCGAGTACGTCGCTCTAGGATTTTTGCATACATTTTCCCCACATGGCTGAGAAGAGATATGCCTCTATAGGTGTTGCAGTCTTTCTTGCTGCCCTTTTTCTTCCATATTGGCACCACTATTGCATTTTGCCAGTCTGCTGGCACTTTTCTTTTTTTCCATGCTTTTTGGAAGATGATTGTATATATGTTACAGTCAAACCCGGAAACTAGTCATTCTCAGGAAATGCCTGAAAATTCAGTCATTCCCAAGTAATTCCTGTTTTGATCGGGCATTTCCAGGAATGCCTAAAAACTTAAGACA